AAACATATCCAAAATAAAATTCATTCTGTATCTTCCTGCTACCCCCAAACCCACACTCCTCTCTTCCAAATTTCCCTGTTTCTGTTGAGGGTATCACCATACTTCTAGTCACCTGGTTTGCAACTTTGGAGTCACCCTTGAATCCTCACTCTTACTCCTACATATCCAATTAGTTGCCATATTGGGGTAGGGGAGAAGTCCCCTTCCTACTCTCCCTGCTAAACTCTGGAAGAGGTGGGAGGGAAAAGGCAAAGAATGGTTTGGATTTTTTTTTAAGATAGCAACTTGCCATCTTTTTTATTTTTATTTTTTTGTGTACAAGGCAATCGGGGTTAAGTGACTTGCTCAGGGTCAACATAGCTAGTGTCAAATGTCTGAAGCTGCATTTGAACTCAGGTCCTACTAACTCCAGGGCCAGTGTTCTATCCACTGCACCATCTATCTGCCCTCCCTTTTTCAATATTAAAAAAATATTCATCATCATCATCATCATCATCATTATGTACAGAAATAGAAAGCATTATTTTCTGTCTCCAATGTTGCCAGCTGCCTTTAAGGCCTGAGCATGGAGGGGGTGTCCCTCTGGCCCCCCACTTGGGATGTGTGCTCTGCTTAGGGACTTACCTTGGAGAGAGTCCATGGAGCCTCCACAGTTTTAAAAAGAAAAAAAAATATCCACAGAGGCCCAAGAATTCTGATCCTAAAACTTCAATCCCAGAGACCTTTCCCTCCAGAGGAAAGGGAGGAGAAAGTCCTTTTAAGAATGCAGAAAAACCATCTGACAACTGGTTAGGTTCTACCCCCTAGTTGGTTTTCGTCTTCACAGTCAGACTTCCCTGATGGACAGAGATGACTTTCCTTTATAGAGGCTCAAAGTATTTTGCCCTTTAAAGGCACTAGGGGTATAGCTGATCCTTCAGGAAGGAAGGGAATAAGCACTTTTAAAGTGCCTACTATGTGCCAGGTACAGTGTTCCGAAAGGTCTGTTGTTATTCATTCATGTTCTACTCTTCCTGACCCCATTTGGGGTTTTCTTGGCAAAGATACTGGAGTGTGTTTCCCCTTCAGAGAATCCAGATCACTTTGTAGATGAGGAAATAGAGGCAAACAGACTTCAGTGACTTGCCCAGGGCCACACAGCTAGTTAAGTATCTGAGGTTGGCTTTTAACTCAGATCTTTCTAACTCCAGGTCCAGTAATCTATCCACAATGCCACTTAGCCGCCACCCCTAAAGCCTTAGGGAAGCCTCAATGCTTCTCTACAATTTCCTTTAAAATCTTAACACCTTTGTTTCTGTTACTTGCCAATTACCTCCTCCAATTCAATGGTGTCAAACTCAAATGAAAACAGTGGCCAGTAAATCCCTGCAAGATAGTGACTTAGAAAACCCCATATTAACATTGTCTATGCTTTATGATCCTTTTATTTATGATGTTACATATTTCCCAATTAATCTGTTTAGGGTTGAACAGTGTTCCATCTCACTAAAATTATTTTATTGATCAGTCTCTTGTTTTTCATCTCATTTCTGAACAGAACTTTCTCCTACCCCCAAAAGAGCTTTCCTTTCAAATAAAAAAAAAATGTAGTCAAAACCAGCGACACTATTGACCACATCTGAAAGCATATGCGACATCCTATAGTCCCTACCTCTTATTCTGCTAGCTTTTAAGACCCTCCATAGACTGGCTGGAATGTACTTTTCTAGTCTTATATGTCTCCTCTTCATTAACTCTACATTTCAGTTGGTAGACACCAATTCTTTCTTCCCTTGCCTGTCATCCTTTGTACATGTAATTAATCTACTCCTTCTGTATTTTTGTCACTCAGAAGCTTTATTTCCCATCAAGGCTCTTCAGGCGCCACCTCTTCTATGAAAGTTTCTTTGACTCCCTCCCTCCCTCGAAGATGTTGGGGATCCCTCTCAAATTACTTTGTATCTATTTATCATAGCTAGTGGCCCAGAGTATCAAGCCCCCTATCTGGAGTCAGGATAGGCTTGAGTTCTAAATCTGGCCTCAGACACACTTACTAGCTGTGTGACCCTGGGTGAGTCACCTCTGTTTGCCTCTGGGCAAATCACTTAACTTCTCTCTGCCTCAGTTTCCTTAACTAAAATGGGCATAGTAACAGTACCTATCTCCCAGGGTGGTTGTGAGGACCAAATGAGGTAATAATCATTAAGCCCTGAGCTGACTGGTTGATTGGTCGCTGTCCTTCACTCTAGAAGAGGACCAAAACGACATCACCGTGCTAGATTCAAGTTTCAGCGTCTGACTGTGTTTGATCAGACCACTATGAGCGCGGAATGCTCTACCACAGCGCAGGCACACATAGTCCACGTGAACATTTGGGGCAGATCCTCTAAATCTGTGCATCTCATGCTTCTTTTGAGCTGCTTTAATTCTGCATTGCTCATCAAGCACAGAACCTTCTCTGATGAGGGCTCGCCATGCTGGGCAGTCTACCATGTCACACAATCGATCCCAAAGCCCTTAAGAGAGCCCTTGTGGTGTCCCTGTATCACTTCTTCTGACCCTCTGCAAGTTCTCCATAAAATAGTCTTTTTGGCAAGCGTATACTTGGCATTCAAACAACGTGGCCAGCCCATGGGAGTTGACTCTCTGTGATAGAGTTTGACTACTTGGCAGTTTAATTTGAGAAAGGACCTCATCGTTTGGTATCTCCAGTATATTCCCAAGACAAGCGATTCAGTTTCCTGGCATGGCACTGGTAGACTGTCCAGGTTTCACAAATATACAACCAGGTCAGCACAACAGCTCTGTAGACCTTCAATTTGGTAGTCAGCCTAATACCTCTTCTCTCCCACACTTTCCTTCAGAGCCTCCACTGGGCTAGCACTAACGATGAGCGCATCAATCTCACTATCAATATGTATATCCCTGGAAAGTACACTAACAGGGTAAATGAACTTATCCACAGAATTTAAAACTTCTCCATTTGCTGTAACCGAGGGTTCCGTGTATGGGTGGTATGGTAGTGGCTGATGGAGCACTTGTGTTTTCGTGGTGTTAGGCCAAAATTAGTACAAGCAGCAGAGAATGGATCTGTACTTTGTTGCGCCTCAGCTTTGGAGGCTGCATTGAGTGCACAATCATCTACAAACAGAAAATCATGTACCAGCACTCCCTCCACTTTGATCTTGGCTTGCAGCCTTTTTAAGTTGAAGAATTTACCATCCGTGCAGTAGCTGACCTTGATAAACCCTAAGCAGAGTGCCTAGCAAGTGGTAAGCACTAGACAAATGTCAGTTATTATTACTATTTATTACAGATCTTGAACTAGAAGAGATCTCAGAGACCATTTTGTCTAGGGGTTTTTAATCTTATCCTTTTTTGTGTAAAAGACCGCTTTGGTGAAGTCTACAGTGCCCTTCTTAGATGTATATAAGACATAAGATCACAAAGGAAACCAATTATATTGAAATACAATTATCAAAATATTAAAAGAAAACAAGTTTATTGCTTGCTTTATCAATGAATGGGGTAGGGAAGAGAGGAAGATAATTTGGAGCTCAAAAATTTTAAAAAATGAATAAATTTTTTATATGTAATTGGAAAAAAAGATAAAACTAAACAAACACAAATAAGAAGTATACAGACCCCAGGTTAAGAACCCATGAGCTAATCCAACCCCTTCTTTTAACAGTTGGGGAAATTGAATCCTAGAAAGGTTAAGTGAATTGCCTAAAGTTACTGAGGTAGTAATTCCCAGAGGGAAGATTTGAACACAGGTCCTCAGTCTCCAAGTCAGTGATCTTTCCCATCTCGCCAAGGTCCTTTGTATATGTTATTACTATCCCTATACCCCAATAGAAAGATAAGCTTCTCTAGGACAGAAGCTACTGTCTTTGTATTTCCAAACCTAACGCAGTGCCTGGGCACTTGCTTATTGAATCTGAATGTGTTGAATTTCTCGTTGTTGGTCCTCTGTTTTGTCATTTGTCTTGTATGTATGACACCCTGGATTGGATCCCTGGCATCCCCAAGAGTATGTTTGGGGCCGCTAGGTGCTAGGCTTCAAGTCGAGAACACTCTTATCTTCCTGAGTTCAAATCTGACTTCAGACACCTACTAGCTGTGTGATCCTGGGCAAGTTACTTATCCCTGTTGGCCTCAGTTTCCTCGTCTGTAAAATGAGCTGGAGAAGGAAATGACAAACCACTCCAGTATTTCGGCTAAGAAAACTCCAAATGGGGTCAGGAAGTATCAGACAGAATTGAACAACAAAAAAAGGAGGAGTTGGGATTCTGTATGTAGCCTGTACTAATTTGCATTCTGTGATGTGCCATTATTCCTCCCTATAGTGAAAAGAATCCTGATGTTTGAGCCAGGGGACTCAAAGTAAATTCATAACTCAGTTCTGCTCTTAGCTATATGTCCTAGAGAAAGGGATTTCTCTTTTCTGAGCCTCAGTTTCCTTCTTGGTGGTTAAACTCCATGCTTCCTTCCACTGCTAAATCCACTTAACTCATAAGTCTGCCCTGGGATTAGATGAACTCTAAGCATACACATGTTAGGATCAAGTTATTGGTATTATCTCTATCTTGGGGGATTCTTTCCCTTTACTTTCTTCCAAGGCCTGGACCCCACAAAAAAGGAGTGTGTAGGAGGAAGGGGAGGGGCACGAAATCAAGGGAACCCTGATGGCAGACTAGGGACATTTTCTAACCAGGCATCTTCAGCCTTGATTTACTGTGGTCATCAAAGACCACCTTCCTTCTTTACCCCGCCCAACTTAGCCCTGGCCCCAAGCCAGTACCCACGACAACCTCAGTGCCCTGACAAGGTCTTATCCACTTTAGCCTCAATGCTCTTGCCCCACCCACTATCCCGTTACCATGGCAACCAAGGCACCCGCCCCTTCACCCGCACCCCTCCCCGCGTTCTCTTTGGCCCCACCTCCAGACTCTGGGTCGCCATGACGACAGTCCCCCCCAACCCTCCCTCCCGGGGATCGCCGTGACAACGCCCTCTCCCCGCCCCCAGCTCCTCCTCCAGGCCGGGTCTGAGGGGGCCCCGGGCGGCACCGGCGGCGACCCCGCCCTTTTCCCGGGGCGGAGCCGGGCTGCGCCGGCTGAGGCGGGGACGCGGAGGAGGCCGAAGAGGCGGAGCCGGCGGGGCCGCTTGAGTGACGGCGGCGGCCGGCCCGGCTTGGCTCGGCTCGGCTCGGAGGGGAGGCAGCAGCGCCATGGCCCCGCTGGGGGCGGACCGAGAGGGCTACTGGGGCCCCACCACGTCCACCCTTGACTGGTGCGAGGAGAACTACGCCGTCAGTTTCTACGTGGCCGAGTTCTGTGAGTGGGGCGGGCGCGGGGGGCGCGGGAGGCGCAGGGACACCGGCGCTGCGGCCCCGGCGCGAGCGAGCCGGAGGCCCGGGGCGGGGGACCCCATGTGGCCCCCCAGGCTGGGGTGGGAGGGTGGGGACCCCCTGCTCTCCGCAGGCAGGGGGGATGGGGAGCGTGGTGACCCCCCCCCGTGTCTCCTCAGTGCAGGGGGGGTGGGGAGCGTGGTGACCCCCGTGTCTCCTCAGTGCAGGGGGGTGGGGAGCGTGGTGACCCACCCATGTCTCCTCAGTGCGGGGGAGGGGAGCGTGGTGACCCCCGTGTCTCCTCAGTAGGGGAGGGTGGGGAGCGTGGTGACCCTCCCCCCGTGTCTCCGCAGGCAGGGACCCTCGTGTCTCCTAAGTGAAGGGGGGATGGGGAGCATGGTGACCCGCTCTTCCCCACCAAAGGTGAAGTGTAGGAACCCTCATCCCTCCCTGAGCAGGGGGGATGAGAAATGTGGAGACCCCTAGCTGTCCCCAGGCATGAGGAATGGGGAGTGTGGGGGCTGTCATCTTTTCCTGGGCAGGGGGAATGGGGAATGTGAAGACCCCCATCCCTCCCCAGTGCAGTGGGATGGGGAGTTTGGAGATTCCTACTCCTCAGTCACCCCAGGGCAGGGGATGGGGAGTGTGGAGAACCTCTAAAGGCAGAGGATGGGGAGTGTAAAGACCCACCTCCCTGAAAGTTAAGAGATTGGAAGTGTGGAGACGTGCCTTCAGCAAGGCAGAGTGGAGACCTCTCTCAGCCAGTCAGGTGATAAGGGAGTGTGGAGACCCACTTCCTTCCTCCAAGGCTGGGGAAGCCGGAATGTGGAGACTCAACTCCTCCCCAGCCTCCTAACAGGGAAAGGGGGAGTGTGGAGGCCTACTCCTTCAATACAGGAGGAGGATGAGTAGGGGACCCTCCCTCAAACAAGAGGATTAGGGAGCTTCCTCTCACACAGGGGAAACTATTAGCTGGAGCACGGACTTGCCAGGGCCTTTAAAAAAAAGGAGTGGGTGAATCCTGTGGTTTGCAGTGCTTTAGGGAAGGATACCTGGGCCAATGCAAGGCAGAGGTGGGGGGGGCACCACACCCTGTGGCAGAGGAAGGAGTGGTTGGGAGAGAATGGGAGAGAATGAATGGAGCCACCACTCCCCCACACCACCCCCTAAGGTTAGGAGGAGCAAGGACCAAAGTGCCAGGGGAAAGATCAGGGAGACCTGGGAGGTCATGGGAAAGAAAAATGGGAGGAGAGGAGGGAATTTCCTGTAGGGGAAGTAGGGGATCCCTCCAGGACTTGAGGTTTGGGGACACCCTTAGATTCTGGCAGTTGGGTTAATGCAGGGCATTTGGTCATCCATAACACCCTTGGAAAGACTAGAGGTCTATGTACACATCTCCACCCTCTGGGACAAAGAAAAATCAGCTCCCTGCATATTTATACCAGGTGCAGACACCCTTGCCACCCTCCCGTCTTAGCACTCTGTTGGTTACCAGGCCCCATGGGTGAGAGATAGTTGTTTTGTCTTCCCCATGAACCTTAGGTCCTATTGCTCTTTCCTTTTGTCTGTTTTCTCAATATCTTGTACTATGTGCTCATGCCAGACTTAGCACTGATCTTTCCCTGCCCTCCCTAAGCCCTGCTGTTTGTGCCACTGCTTGACCTCAGCTGGTTCTCAGTGCCTGGGGGTAATTTCCCATGCCCATGAAAACATGAAAACCCCCACCCTCCTCCCTTGCACTTACCTCCCAATAATTCTTGCATTCTGCCATGAGCTTATTGCAGATTTTCTCCTCCTAACGTGACTAGTTAGGTACTGCTTGTACCCAGCTCTGAAGCTTCAGGGAAAAATGGTCCTTACCCCACAACATAAACTCATAGCTATCCATCCACTGACAACCTATCCTCATCTCCTCTCTGCCAACTGTTCAGTTTTGAGGGTATGATACATTTTGCTCCCTTCAGTTATCTGTTTTGATCAGGCCCTTTGGTCAGGGCAAAGAGTACTTAAGAACTGTCTGTGTTCCTTAGCTTGACAGGAGGTGGGATCTACACCTGGCTCTGCCTTATATTATCTTCATGCCACAGCTCTCCAGCTCTGCTTGCCAAATACCATTATCTTAATGCCCCAATTGGACCAGGTCCTGAGTTAGCCCAAAAGCCAGAGACTCACTCACTCTGCTCTCTTGCTCCCCCAATCACTATAGTTTCCTGATTATTTCAGGCCCCCCAGATTACAGAGGAAACATTCCTAATTCTGCTACCTGCTCCCATCTGGCCTCTAAGAACCCAGAGGCCATCCGAGGATATGACCTTATTTTTCTGTACTTCCCATAATCCTTAAGATCACTGTCCCTGTTGGACCATGGTTTGAATAGGGTGCAGAGGTTGGTGTGGGACCTGTGCCTTTCTACCCCAGTGACTAGTTTTGGTCAGACCTAAGAAGGCTAAGGGAAAATCTTCCAGAACTACTTCCATGGTCAATCTTGTTTATTTTTGAGGGCACTAGACATGTATGTTGTTTTCTTTGGTTATCTTTTTCCTTCAGGCTTCTGTCAGGATACAAGATGCTCCTGTAGCTTTGCTTGACTGATGACACTCTCCATCCCTGAGCAAAACTGCACTTCTTAGCTTATTCCTGCTATACTTCTCCCCAAGGCACTTGCTCCCAGTGGAAGGGCAAAGGACTTCATTCCAAGGAAACATTCTTACCTCTGACCCCAGCTGTATGCACAGAGAGAAAGAGGGGAAAAATGCTTTTCTGTATCTTCTAGGCATCAGTTTCTTGCCTTATAGGCCTATTTTTATGCTGAAAACTATTTGTTTATGTTTTTTTTTAAAAGGGCCAAGCTATTCATATCACTTGGGTTTTTAAAAATTGTGCTTGTGCAGCATTGAAGAACTCAGACTTCTAACAGCAGAGAAGAAAACTAAAGGGATCCCTTTTGGTTGTTTGTGCATATGACCTTGGGAAATTCAGTATTTGTCAGAGGAAGCCATTACAAATTATAGTAACAAAGATCTTGGAGTCATGGGCTGGAACCAAAGGAGATAGCTAAGCAGATGTTTCATGAGAGGCACAAAAGAGGGAAGGAGAGAATGTGGAAGATAACCCTTAGAAATGAGAAATGGCCTTGTTTCTGTGCGTAGCTAGGAAGGAAACACTATGCAGGCAACTAGTGGGTTTTCAATAAGTGGATAAGGTGAAGGACTGGCAAGCACTTTGCTCAGGTATTCTGGGGGATTGTTTATTTTGGAGGAAGTTAAAATTATGTCTCATGAAAAGCCGTAAGAAGACAGTATGGTGGGGTGTCGGAAAACCTGGGTTTGAGTCCTGGTTTGACCAGTCATACTTCTCTCTCAACTAATTATAGTTTCTTTCTCTAAAATAACAGTAGTATCGCTTAAAATTCTGACCTCCCATTGTCATGTTGTGAGTATGAAATAAGGGGAGTGTTGTAGTGCATGGAAGGACCCTGAACTTGGGCTTGAGAACTGGATTCTAGTTGCAGATCTCTCCCTGGCTGACAGTGCCTCTTGACAAGGTTCTTCATTCCTCTTCTTAAAGTGACAGCATTGCACTGCATGATTTTTAGTGTCTACTCCAGTTCTAACATTTTTTTAAGCTCTGTGAGATTATGTTTGGTGCTGTACAAATCTGAAATATTAGTATTCTTAAAAAGAAATGGAAATTTGTAGTGTTGAGATCATCAGAAAGATGTAGAAATTGAAATAAATAGAAAACCAAATTGTGAGATGAGCTGTGTTCCTAGATTCTCAAGACTGGAAGTGACCTTAGACATTACCTAGTCTAACCTTCCACTGAGGCTAACAGGCCTCTCTGGAGCATCCCTGAAAGGTAGCCTACCAGGCCTCTATTGCAACATATCACATAGCCCTTTGTGACACAATATGATATTTATAGCACAATTACCTCGAGTATTTTAGATAATAAAAATGTCACATTTCCAATTCCCCTTTTAAAAAGAAATTTGGACAGATAAGCCTTTTTAAAAAGAAATGTTGAATGCCTTAGAGATCATACATCATGATGATAATGGATAGAAAAATGAACTTAGAAGAAAAAGAGATTTGAGCTCTGTTTCTTCCACTTTTTGACTATGATCTCAGGACATTTCCTTTACTTCTCTGGGTCTTCCTCATTCTCAGTTATAAATGGGAATAAATAATACTTGTATTGGCTGCTTAATGCCCCACAAGGATGCTGAGCTCTGTTTTGAGAAATACTAAGGAAAAAATTGGCTAGGGAAAAAGGACAATGACCAAAAACCCCACTTTTCTCCAGTTAGAAAAATGTCCATGAGGGAATTGAGATTTCAGGTTCTGGGTAAATGATGGAAGAATAAGAAGTTAACAGGGTAGGAACAAAATTCTGTAAGAGAAGTTTTAAGGGAGAGTCCATGGGTTAGAGTAGGGTGGGTGTAATCAATGTATACCTTCTCCACAAGTCCCTATGAGTCATAAACTCTGATTTGCCAAATTAATACTTCTTTTTCTTATTACTTCTTAAAGATGAAAAGCAGTGACAAGTTCTTCAGTGAGTAATTATTGAGTTAGGATACTGTGTATTAGAAGTCAGAGGAGCCAGGTCCAAATCCTGCCTCTCTTGCTTGCTGCCCTTGTGACCTTGGGCAAATCATTTACCTTCTCTGGGCCTCTCAGTTTCCTCTTCTGTAAAATGAAGATTAGATGATTTCCAAGATTCTGTCCAGCAGTTTCAAACCTTTCATTTTGCTTCATCTGCCTTTTAATGAGATTTCCTTTAGATAATAGTTCTTCCAGCATATACAGAAAAAATGCTACTCACTTTCACTTATTCTCTTATTGCCACATCTTTAATTACTATATCCCTCTCAGTTCTAATTATCATTTTGCAATCCAGCTAACCATTGCAAGTACAAGCTGCATTAGATTCCTAGACTATATACATGCCATTTAGAAGGTTGCCTTTCTAGAGTGACCTAAA